TATATATTTATATATATATTTATATATATATATATATATATATATATATATATATATATATATATATATATATATATATATATATATATAATGTTTATATTTATATGTGTGTGTATATATGTATATATATAGACATATATTCATATATACATACCTATATTTATATGCACATATATGTGTGTGTGTGTGTACATGTGTATATGTATATATGTATATGTGAATATATATATATATATATATATATATATATATATATATATATATATATATATATATGTATATATATATATATATATATATATATATATATATATATATATATATATATATATATATATGTATATATATATATATATATATATATATATATATATATATATATATATATGTATATATATATATATATATATATATATATATATATATATATATATATATATATATATATATATATATATGTATATGTATAAAGGAAGCAAGAATAATCATATTCAATGATACAACCTCTGAATTCATGGATTTCAACAGAATATGCATCATTTATATTGGTAACTTCAAGGAAATTGTGCATATCCTCAGTTTTTTTTTTAACCAGTCATGAAAAGCTTTTGTATTTTATTTTGGCTGACCAAAATATCTGAAATGATTATTTTTATTTAATGTTTCAGTATTATTAACATTTTTCTGTGTGTATTTGTTTTGAGTATTCACTTGCCTTATTGAATAGCATCTCATACGAATTTTGTTTTTGATGTATTAGAATAGCTGTATTAATTCAGTATTTATTTTTTATCATATTAATTTATGGAATGGATATGTGTATTTTATTTAGTTCATATTATTTTATTGATGAAGTAATATATGTAGATATTTAGTTTTCTGTTTCATAATTGTCACATATAATGCTTTTAGATGTCACTGTAGTTAAATGTTCCTCTTGCATGATGAAGAAATATGCACTCAAGTTGAAATGGCAACAGAGGGCTATCCTTACCTACAGCAGAGGGGAAGACTGTGTTTTTTTGCCCTTAGATGATTATCTGCTTAGAATTCTAACCATATTTTGAAGTTGATTAAAGAGAAATGCCCAAACAAATATTCAGTATTTTGGTGTTGAGGTTTTCCCAATTTTTTTGACAATAAGAGTATATTTAGGTCTTAGTTTTTCAAGGATTAGAAGACAGCTCTGATGTATAATGGGAAATAAATCTGAAATGATTCAGTTAATGGCTTCACACAGCTAATTGCACGGCTTAAACAACTACAAGGAACTAATTTTATCATTCCTATTACTAATGCATATCGATTCCCCTCAAGTCTTGCTGTATGCCTTAGCCATGTAGGTGATGATAGCCTCTCCTGATCTGATAGCCATTGGTATTGTATCAGTTGTCACTGTAGCCTCAGACATATGGTGTTACAGTAACAGTAGCAGTCGTCTGGGCTTGGCTTCGAACATGGCTTCCTCCATGGCCACAGAGGGTCTTCGCCAAGCCTCTAAACAGATAGAGCACCTTCGCTCACAGTACCTCGACCCAGCCATGGCAGACCTTGGCCAGTACAGGTAAGTCTCAGTGCTTTGCTTTTCAAGGACAAGGAGTGCAGGTAACTAAAACCATTGAGGACTACTGGAAACAAAGCTCATGATATGAAAGATGGTTTTTCAGTCTGTTTTGTCTTTGGGTAGGTTGCTCTTTCTGAGATACTTGGAAAAGTCACTTCTGAGGATTGTTATAGTCATACTGGGATTACAATATTCTTGAAGAGTTTATTTTGTTAGGGGCCCTTTTTGATTATTTGAAATTAGTGTAATTATATTGAGAGAGATTTATGTATAAGTTTGTAAAATTTATTCATATAATGTACACGGTATATATTTGTATATTACAGCACATGCTCAAACACATGCACACATCTGCAGATAACTCTTAGCATATACTTACTTTCATTTTTTTTTTTTTTTTTTTTTTTTTTTTTTTTGGACAGTTATGATGTATTTGTGCATTTTTTTTTTTTTAACAGCATAATTTTGTTTTATGATGTAACCAGATAATATTGTATTGGGATTGATGTAATTATTATAGTTCAGCTGTAGACTAGCCTTATAGTATTAGCAGTATCTGCAGAAGACATTCATTGATTTTGATATTGTCTCAGAGTATAAGAGTGTGAAGAGTCAGCTGTATATTGAATTAGGTAATTGGTATCTTTGATTTAGAACAAATTCCATATTGCCAAAATGTTAGATACTGAGGTGTAACTATATGGCTATGTATGCATTTCTGTAGATTCTTAGCTTGTGTGCATTTCAAAAGGATCAAGATTGTATCAACTATATTCACAGTTGTTTAGTCTGGAAAAGCTTAGGTGTGAGGTTGGGTCATATTTTCTTCTAGAGCTGACAATGGCAGTGCAAGCAAGTGGTAGATAAACCCAGAGTTTATTACGGAGTAGGTAATGGCAGTGAAGGTAGCAATGATCTTATTGAAAGGTCTGCAGGATCACATTTTATTTTAAAGTAGGTGGTGGTAGAAATTCTAGGTATGAACTAGGGTCATATATTTGCTGACAGTAAAAAATCAGAAGTATTTTCAAGGTGAGGTTGTTATTCATTTCTTTAGTGGGATTGGTTTCATTGTATTTTTTTTCTGTTGTTTGATTTGACCTTCTTCCATACTGTGCCAGAAAGCTGAAAAATGGTAAGTGTTGTTTGTACCCCTTTTTCCCTTTGTTTCTTTTTTCTTTTGCATTATGATTAACAGAATGTCTGTATTAACCTGTTGGATCTGGGTGCCTCCTGGCACATATGTGGACTGAAATTTAGGCATGAGGCTTCCTTGAGTGGCAGCTGTCCTGGGTTTATGGCTTACAGGCCTGGTCAAAAGAATACTGACGTGTGATAGTAAGACTTCTTGCCACCTCTTTGCAGTGCTATTTGCACATTTTCTGCAGACACGTTTTTTGCTCTTTTGCTGTTTTACGAGGTCTGTGTTTGTTGTTTGTTAAGCTTTATCGAGATAATAAAACATTTATGTTGCGCAGACTCCATATGATATTTCCAGGAAATCTACACTCTGTATGGTAACCATAACAATAAGTAACACTGTTATTTTTTGTATTTTAAAATAATTCAATTTTCCAGAACACACTACACAGCTGGTAACAATGGGCAGGAATAGGTTTCTACACATGGACATAGTGTCTTTCTTGGAAACAGTACTCTCCTAGTCATTATTGACAGATATTATACTTCACCTTCATCAACCAGTGGAAATCCTGTAGTAGTTCATGAACAAACCTCTGGGCCCGCTGAGTCAATCTCATGTCCAGGTGCTTTATACACTTACGTGTAGATGTCCCCATCAACCAACATTTAGCAGTGATTTCCATCACCCACCCCTTACCCAGATTTTTTTCCGTGATAAGACATTACTGTCACTCGCCCCTTGCCAGATATTGTAAGACATCCATGTCACCCGGATCCAATGGGTTGATTAATATTTGATTGATCTTCCTTATAATTCTCATGATTATTACTCATCATAAGCTTATGACCATAAGGTCATATAAGGGCTTAGCATGATTTTTTCCCCTTGTGTTTATATTGAATTATTTTTTTCTTTCTTAAAGGTTATAATTGATTTTTGTGCAAAGGATTTTCTTGCTCTTGTATGACACATAATTAATAAAATAACTCCCTCTTCGTTATGATTAATCAAAACAGAGAGTGAGTGAGGAACTTATGTACATAGTGTAAAAGTTATTGCATGAACTTAATAAGTTGCTTATATAGTGCATTAGGGTTTTTGTTTGCAAGACTGAAATCAGTTTCTCAAAGCTGAATCATGCAAGTCTTAGTGTTGGCTGTTTTGCTCTGTGTTAAGGGTGGCAATGTAGAGCCATTTTTGTTTTTTGCCTCATACAGGGGATGTGAGTTTGTTTGTTTTTGTTTGTTTATTAAGAGCGTTTTGGAAGTGATATGTATATTATACTCCCCTTTTTTTCCTGCTTTTTTCTCTTTTCTTTTATTTATGGGGTTGCAGGTGAGACCAAAAAAGGTCCATTGCCCATATCTCTTGTGATTCAGATGGGATTCTAAATTACTTATTTCAAATTGTGGAAAGAAGTAATGTTTATCACTTTGTCATTTATTATGCATTACAAAAGTAAATTAACTACTGCAATAAATGTTTTAGAAGTTAAAAAGTAGGAAATTATATTTATCACAAAAATCAAGATCAGGGAAAAGACAAAAAAAATATATATTGCATCTTTCGTTCTGAGCATTTGTGCTTGTGTGGGAGTGGAAGTGTGTGCATTTGCATACATGTTTGCATGTATGTGGTTTTCTTTATGCATGTGTGCGTGTGCATATGCGTGTGCGTGCACGTTCATATGTGCATTCATGCGTGCACATGCGTTATACATATGAGAAATGGATGATATTTACTTTTCAGTCTGAAGCATTATTTTGACTATGACATAACGTTATGTGGAGGTTCTTCATGAATCTTACCTTGCTTTCTCATTTCAGCCCTGGGAATTTCAACTACCGCAAGAATGAAATTATATCTGGGAGCATCAGCAGCGTCAAATCAGCTGTGACTTCCTTTTCCAAGAGGTTTGGAGAGATTCGGGAGGCCATAACAGCAACCAACACCCCAGCCAGCAGAGGAATTCACAGGTAAAACATACCAAAATCTGGAGATAAAAGAGTTTCTCCAGTTTGCCACACATTTTCTCTTGTCAGTAAATTGCACTTCCCTTTGGGAATATGATTGCTTGTTGAAGTTGAGATGAGGGAAGGATTTAACCCAGTGCCATAAGGGACCACTTCCTAAGTGCTGAGTACTTGGAGAGCCATCTTTATTTGAAAACATTTCATAAAACAAACTGCTTACACCCACACCCTTGTCCACACATTCCTACACCCCTCACACATCCACAGTGAGAGAGCAAAAAGAGCAAGATCAAAGGAAAACAGTTCCTTGTTTGTATGG